TCTACTGATGACTTTGAGCTGTGCAGTATTTTTGGTACCAAGCTGCTTTTTCCACTTGATGTGATTCCGAATTGTGTTCTCCTGGTAGATCGCAACGCTACTGAGCTACCGAACCACAACTGGCAGATTTCCACGAAGGACCATGAGCTTGTGGTTCATTTGTCTGAAGATGAAGAGCCAGATATTCGATGCCTGGCCCTTACATGCTTTGCAGCTTTTTGTGCAACGGTTGGATGGGAGATTGACCAGACAAAATTGGCCTGCCACAGTGATCCTGGCCTTGCATTGCGTCTTGCTCCGATCAGAAACCGCATCTCTCTGGACTTCAGTGAGTTCAGGAACCTGACTACCATGTGGATTGCGGGCGCAGTACTGGCGCCCGCCATGACAGTTATGACATGAGCATCAATATCCTTGGTGTTGATGGTTGGATTGCAACTGACCCTCCTACCTTTGAACGTGTACAGCGATGCTTGAGCTCCCATTGCCCGAATGACGTCATCCAGTTGACAACTCACTTGAAGGACAGCTGCCATCGATCCGCACGGCTATCTCAGGTTGCCCAAAACCCACCATCAGGCCGTGAACCGGCCCAGGCAACCTGGATCACATACAAGCCAATCTGCACTGAGGTCACCCAAGGACTTGGATTTGTTTTGCCTGAGCAATTGTTCAAAGCTAGTTCTGGTGATGAACTCAGAGCCAGATTGCCTGAGACAGATGCCTCATGCAGCAGCTTGGACTCAAGCTGCAAACCTGCTTTGTCAGCAGTGAGTGCTTCTTGAAAATCCGGCAGCCGCAGAATACAGTGATCTCCACGCAGGATCTGTTTACAGCCTGCCTTGCTCAGGCCTATTGCTTTCAGCCGGCCGTTTCTGGAATTCACTTGGCATAGGATCCTCTATCCCGGTCACCATCCACTCCTCTTTTGGGGTTCGCGTTGAAGCTGTTTTTCCAGACTGCGTCCCAATTCGGGATATCCATAGCATTTGGGGCATGGACAGGCAACATTGCGTCCGCAAAATACGTGTCCTTGGGCAAATCTATCATGCCTCATGTCAAACTGGAGCGCTTGATGTGTCGTGGCAGGGTGAAACTGCATATGCAATACCGCAAAGCCGCTCGCACTTCAGCTTCGCAGGCACATGCCTCGGCAATTGTTGTGGATGCGTCTACTCTTTGCCTTGAACCTAATTGCTTTACGGATTGCCACGACAATTTCATACCGGTCATCACGACTATTGGGCCAAAGCGAGCAGATATAGCAAAGCCCTGCAGAGGTGATATCCAATCAGATGAAGACATCCAGTTCAGCATCCAGGTCTAATTTGCTGAGCCAGTATGGATGAAATTGATAGAGCGCCCAATCCGTGAAGTTCGCCGCATTCTGGAAAAACTTGGATGTGAAGCTCCCTTCACCCGAGTGTGGGCTCGTGCATTCAATGCCAACGGCAAGAGGGTGCCTCCCGTTGAGTCTGATGTCTTCTCTTTTCAGATCACTGCCCAACTCCAACCTGCTTGGATTGTCAGGAGCCTTGGAGTCTACACGACGTCCAGAGAGCAGAATGGGCGCCCGCGTGAAGGCTACCGCATTGTGTGGTCACCTAGGACCAAGGGAGAGTTGTTGACTGCCGCTCGAGATTTGCCAACCCATGGACTTGTTCACAACAAAACTGGACGGGGAGTGCGGGTCAACGCCCCCGACAAGGTGTATTCTGTCGTGAACCCCGGTAAGACCATTCCGACTGTACAAGCTTTCGCCGCTCCCGGCATCAAAGCAGAAGCTCTCACAGCCTGGGCTGCCAAGCTTCCGTGGGAAATCCGTGTCAAGAAATTTATCGGATCGGCTGATGCGATAGTTGCGTCAATTCAGGAACCAGCCAAACAAGTGCTGATGCTCAACGGACAGCCTGTGCTTGCATTGTCCATGCCGACTGGGGAGCCCGCTGCAAAGCCGATTGTGGCAGGGTCCATTGCCATCCAAAGCCAGGGATCCAAGGCTGAGAAGGACATCCTGCAAGAGGCAGATCCTTGGGCCGAGCCAAACTCCCGTCCATTGCCCACCCCAGAATCTCTCCTTAGGACCTGGTGGTCCCGGACCTGTGGAAAAGCAGCTCGCAGAGCACCGTGCTGAACTTGATGCTTTGAAGCAATCCATTGGCCGTGTTGAGCAGGGCCAACAAGAGTTCAAGGAACACGCAGTCTTGCTTTATGGAACTCAAGGAGCTGCTCCTTGCTAGTAGTAAGGAGCGGAAAACAGATAGTCGGCCACCCAAGAAGGCCAAGCCAAATGCCGCCTCTCAGATCAGCGATGATGAGCTGATGGGGTGACATCCACAGCGGCATTCGCCTTGGCTCATGATGCTCCATGCACCTGCATGTGAACATGGCACTTGCCGCTGGCTTCTTGTATCCTCATTGCGCGAGGGAATCAAAGCGGAGCTTTGGCCAGATGCATTGCCTGGGGTCACACAGCCATTGTGCTACCACAGCAAACTCTTGAATTCTTGCCTCACTGAAAGTGTGCCAGGTCTCCTTGCTAGTGCTGTGCGCGCGGGCCTGGTGCTAATAAGCACTGGGTCGCCCCAATCTACTTTTCTGTTGGGGGGAAAAAGGATGCAGTCCTGCTGAGTGCCACCCATGCAGATGTCGAATGATTGATTGGACTGAGCACGCATTGAACTGTTCTCATGATAGTACACCAGCATGGCCTTTGGCGTATCTTGGCGTCCGTGTTGGGGGGCCCTTAACCCTGGACCTCGCCCCCCGCAGCCTGATTGTAAAAATAGCTGTAGTAAATCCCACTTCTGTGCATAATAAATCAGATATGATTGCCAAGTGCGGTGACATTGTATTTTTTGCCAGAAACTGCAGCTACCGCCAAACTGCAGGATGTTGAGACATCGAATTTTCGGAAAATTGGACATAGTACAATCTGGGGTTCCCCAGTTGCACCTATGCATGAGGTGACCCACGACCATTCTCTGAGAGGGGTTGCATGTGGGGTTGCTTGTGCGTCTTCACTGCCACTTCGGGAAACCCGTGACCTTTTTCCGGGCCCTTGGAAAAGCACCACCCGTATTTTGGAAGGTTATATCCGCCTCCAGACTTTTGACTTGCGTGTATTTGTGCTCTACGGTTTTCCAGATGGCAGCGCCCAATCGACAAGTTATAATCACACTGCAACAAATTACTTGCTTGAGATGCGCATCCAACGTATGCCGCTCAACAACGCACCCACCCTCGTTGGGGGTGACATCAACAGACTAGTTCAAAAACTGCCAGCCTAAAAACCTTCATGAACTGTGGACTCGCCGCCATGGTTTCCCACTGCCTGCAACCTGTACTTTGTCACAAGGTCCTGGACCTGGATCGCGACACGATACGATCTTGATTGATCCCCGCTTGCATGCCTCATTGCAAGATGCACGGGTCTTACTTGATCGTGACTTCCATAGGCGTAGACCGTTGCAGCTTGATTTTGTTTTTCCACGCCAACAAATTACATGCCTGCGCTGGAAGTTGCCGCGGAGTTATGCCGATCTGCAGCCCGACAGTACTGCTGTTGCCAGCCATTACAATCAGCTTCAGGCCTACACTGAGGACCCTGATGCTTGTGATCTGACAAATTGGGCCAAACGGATCTCACCCTGCGTGACAAGCGTCGTGAGGACCCCACTGCCCAACCTAGCAATGGGTTGCCCAAGCACCGCAAAGGTCCATGTCAACCTCAGAAGCTCATCAAAGTGCCTGTTGAGTAAACCATCCCCACCGACTATCAGCCTCCAAATGAAGCTTTTAATGTGAAATCTAAGCAACGCATTCGGCAGGCACGACGAATCCGGTGCTTGTACAGCCAGATTGCCGACGCCGAAGGTAATCCCAAACAAACATCCAGCAGGATTTCCGGAAGGAAGAGATGGACGCAATGAAAGATGATCAACTGGAAACCATGCGGAACGATCCGACGACTGCCATTTTCGACTATCAGGTCTCATCCGCGGAACGTTTCAAGCACGTGAACAACGAGATGTTCATGAATGGCTCTCAAGATTCCGATTCACACAGTCCGCTGATGGTCTACATCCGGCCACCAAGCAGCGAAACTTTGAGCGATCCAAGGAGTACTTCAAGAAGAAGCAATCCTGGACTCAGCAAGAGTATAAGGAATACAACAAGCAGCAGCGGGGCAATCAGAAGCAGTGGAAGGACTACAGGGACTCGACCTGGCACGACTACGGAGACTACGGCAGCCAATCCGACAGCAGCTATCGGTGGAACCGTTGACTATCTGATGAAGCTGCCACCTCTGGCATCCATTCGACCTCCTTCGGTCTGAGTGATCCGCCAAGGAAAGAAGTTTTTCTGAAGCTCGACTGAGAGAACACCCGAAATCGGCACTACGAATTTCAACCGAATTGATCCTCACCGCCAACAAGACTATTCAGTGAGAGATCAATAGTTTCACATCCGTCCCGCATGTACATAGCGTTGTACATCATCTTTTAGATACATTTAGGTATCTCACAGAATCAGTACAGACTGTTTCCCATTTTGCAAATCAAGACATTTCATCCGCGCAGAAAACAGGATGAATCCAGTATTTCAATACACATGGCTACGGCATAAATCAAGGCTACGGCCAAAGGCCAAGAAGCCAAAGATATTTCATATCTAGTGCCGGCGATCAAAAGAAATGTGTGTCTGTTTTTGTGTCTGTTTTTGACCAATGTTGATCGCCCGCAACCATTTGGCTCAAGGCCCTTCTGTACCATAGCAATACTCATGATTGCGTGACAAAGGAACCTTTGCAGGCCGCTTACAGGATTATACAACAAGTCAATCCACCAGCAATCCATCCTCCAATCATCCATATTGGCATATTGGACTCTCTCCGGAATAGATCCAGGGACCGCATAAACGACCTCTACTACCACAGGGTACCAGTTCCCTTCTGGGATAGGTACCCCCGGCAGTGGGCCTCACCCCCCCCCCCAGGTCTCCCCCCCCCAAAACAAAACAAAAAACACGCCCCCGCTCTCAGGCGCAAGGTCTCGCCCAGCACGGTGCTCACCGCCGCCGCCCCATAGAGCGCCAGGAAGTTCAGCGCCGTGCCGTAGCCCAGACCTCGGGCTCGAGCTCTCAGCGCTCGATCCGCGAAGGCTCGCGCAGCTCAGATGCCTGGCCATAGAAAAAAAGAAAATCGGCGTCCTTTCACGGGAAACCCTTCCCCCCAAAAAAAGGGGGGAAAAAGGGCACCACTGGGCTGGGCCAATGACTCGGGAGGAGAAAAACCCATCTATGGAGGGCTGCGAAACATGTCACACTTTTCGCACGGTGAAATGAAACCATGGTTGAAACCGCTGTTTGTGGGTATTTCCAGGGGAATTATATCATTCCGTTTCCTTTGAGGGAATCCTCAGGTGCATTTCCTCCTTCCCTACCGCAAGTCTTGTTAGACAACCCGGGAGGGAGGGGAAGATGTTAAGCCTCTGGCTTGGGCAACGCCTCCATGTTCGAGGGCTACCCAGTGCGAATGCAGAATTCTATTTTATTTAATAAAAAAATGGAAACGACGCCTCGATGTACCAAAGTGTTGCGATTGGACTGGGTTTGCGACTAGTGTGTAGGGAATGATGGCAAACACAAGTCAACGACTCATTTTTGCGGGGTCCCACAAACCTAGTCTCATGACCGATGTTCAATGTGTTTTCTTAGGTTGGACCGCAACAGAAATGCGGGTGTCCTTTTTGGTTTTCCTTTAAAACCAACCAAAAGGGGGTACCAACTCAAACAGAAACAGACCCAAATCAACTAAGGACAATGATGGATGCCCTACGGCCTTTAAGCCGATTTTGCAGGGGAACTTTGGGTCTGGAAAGCGTCACCGGATTCTTCTCGCACGGATTCTACAGAACTCTTCGGATCTGAGACCCTGGGGTCAATTTTCCTTGCATCCAGAGATCTTGGTGAGCAACCCCCCAGTTTCTGATGGCGAGTGTCGTCCCCTTTTCAACACTACATGGTGTTGGTTGACCCTTGCTTACGCCCACAGACAACAGTTCTTCTTTGTTGCCCAGGCGCAACAATGCTGATTGTCCCCCTGGCTTCTTGTGGAAAATCTGACTTCTCCCCCGTCATCCAAAATGAAACGGTAGACTGCCGAGACCTTTGTCAGTTGAGTCACACAATGTGTCGCGTCACGGCCACGTCTCTACATCGAGCTGAGGCCCCTGCCGAACATAAGTCCTGATGCGATACAAAGCGCTTGCCACATCGGCAGCATGAGCACAATGGAGATGAGCAGAACCAGGGCCCAGCCAAGGAACCAGCCCCAGCCAGGATCATCCGGTAACATCCTCAAGGCTTCTGCCAGCAGAGAAGTTGGGCCAACAGCATACACGATGATGGATGCCACCGCCGCAGTGCCCACGCACGCGAGAATCGATGCATATTGGCACCCGCGGTTCTCTTCATGCATCCACGACATCAACGCCGAGCTCCTGGCGTCGTGTCGCTACATTGGCATGTGCGAGCTGAACCCAAACAGCTCTGCCTCGGCGAGCCCATGTGCAAACCTCATTCGGAAACATGCTTGGCCAGGTGTGGGCCAAAACAATGCAACGCCTCCAAGTTTTGCAGGATCTCCGGCCCTTGGCAAACTGGAAACAGGTCATGTCTCCTCGTGGCTCGCCCTCCATCGAAAAGCCGAAAATCCGCCCAAGGCGGGTACTTTTTGTCACCACCGAAGCACAGTTGCCCGCAATGCAATCTGCAGTTAAACATGCGAGCGTCAAGTTAATTAGTGTGTTTTTCAGGATCCTGACTCTTCTGTCGCACACGGCCAGCTGCAACAGCCACTGAACATATCCGGGTTGAGTGCTTCACCGTGCAGAGTCTCGGGCCCTTCGGACATGCATAGCACATTAAGCTTGGCACCGAGTCGCACGGTGAGACTGGAATTGGTCACCATGCCTCACATCCTTCTCCAGAAGCAATGACTTCATTGGGAGGCTTCCCTTGGGATTGAAACACCGTCAAGTTCGTACGGCCCAATGGGTCGTTGGAGATGTGACTGTCTTTGAGATGTACCTGTACATCAGCAATGGTCATGAATCAGACCATGGCAACACAATGGGTCCAAGCAACGGCACGATTCTTGCGGTTCTGAAGCGGCGACTCGGTGCACGGGACAACGGGTACCACAGCGCCGTCCCATGCCGGATCGGATTCTGCACGGCGAGAGATCGCTGAAAGTCTGAGTCTATCCATCATGCCTTTGAACAGGTTTATGCCTCTGCCTGTTTATGGCCAAGAGACGGACACTACCCCGCCCTGAAGAGATTCGGTGGCCCCGTGTCAATTCCCAGCGACTCACTCAGGCCTGGCAAAAAGCGGCCAGCGCTTACGTTCGCGAAACGTAACAAGCTGCGGACTCACAATAGAATAGTTTTAGAAGGGGTGCTTCGAAGGGTGAGAGTATGTCTGAGACTAGGTGCTTCCAAATATCTATCCTCGCACAATTTGAACAGCGAGGCAAAAGTGAGGGTAAGTTTACTGGCCCGGAACGGCTTGGTTTTGATCAAGGCCTCAGAAAAACCAGTGGATTGTTTAGGCCCGAAAGTCAACGTTATTGACATGATGATTCTACCCAAATTAGCCCAACAAGTATCCCTGCCCGAACTTCCTTCAGAGCCCCAGAACCCAATCGGAACCCGGGCTTGGGAAAAACCATGAACCGACCCTGTCCGCTTGAAACGGCAGTTCTCATTGGGAAAAGGGGATGTGCAAAGAAGTGTCACCATCTTAAAGGGTTTTCCCCCAAAAAAATGAACCCGAATTCTGAAAAGAGCAGGCAATCAGAAGCGAGTCTGGAGATCTCAACCTAAAGCCCCCTTTCGACGGCAAATTGTTTCCCCTATTGTTGTCTCGAATTCAGGTTCGCTAGTGGCCCAAGCACAGACTCCCAAGTTGGGCATTCAACCGAGTGGCTGCCCAAGTCTTTGATTCATGTTGACCCCTGAGCAACGCTCAGTTGCTAGTCAGGTCCTCTTCAGCAGCTTTCATACTGACTTTGTTGACGCTGCATTCATCGGCTGTCAAAACTGGAAGGATGAAACCGCGCTGTTCAGAGAGGATTGGAACTCCAAGCCTGGTTTCCTTAAGCCTCTTACAACAACGCTACGAAGGGAAAGAACGCCTTGGGAACTACCCTGTGTCCCTTTGAATGCCTTTACTCATTTAGAGGACCCAAAGGCCCGTGTCATAAGGGGGCAACCGATGCATCCCTGAACCTTTTGCGGTGGCCTGGAAAAATCTACGCTAGAAAAATGACGAGAATCTCGAACCAGTAGAATCCAGGCTTCAATTTTCTGCTAAGGCTTCTTGATTGGAATACCAGAACCTTGCTTCTTGCAAGTTGACATCTAGTTCTTATCAACCCGACTGAACGCAAGATGAGGCCTTGGCCACTGCACACTTCCAGCCCGCCTCGCCTTGCCCTTTGCTTTCGCCTCGCAAAAAACAGCCGTGCGGGCGAGACAAGCACATAGACCCTTTTCCATCAACCGGACCGATACGGTGAAACGAGAGGCTTTCCACAGGTTGTTTTCCTGAGGCACGGGAGCCCTGAGGTCTTGACTGGTTTGGATTTGTTTTGAACATCGAAGGTTGGGTTCAGGGCCAGACCCAATCTGCAGAAACCCAGTGGTGCACACCAGTAAAAAGGACGGGCCTGCAACATGAGGCCTACTCATGGGCTCAGGCCCCCTTTGGCTCAAGAAGGGACACCAAGCAAAACGGCCTCTCTTTTTTCGGGCGTCGCCGATTTTGAGAAGTGAAGCACACACGTTCTGTTTGTTTTCTTCGCTGACACCTTGCGAGTGCGACAAGGAGCATGGGATTTTCGATTGGGCCTTGTGGAAGTTTATGCTTGTTCGTTCAGCTTATGATGCCGTGCTGACCCCCAATCAGCAAACAGCGCTGAGAGGTGTGGTGGAGCACCAAGGGTTTCGTTTCGCCGCACGCCCCGAGCCCAGCGCAGTTCATGGGCCATGAATGTGAGGCTTACTCACGGAATCGCTGAAATGATGAACAGTTGCAAGTCCTGGCATTGGCTTAAAAACTCGATGGATTCACTTCCAGGGAACATGCAAACTCCCAAGCTACGAAAATACACCTATATTGTGAATAAGCCAAAAAAGATTCCAGCATGTTGAAAGTTGTCATGGCCATGAACATTACAGAAGCAGCAGGGAATGAATCTTCGAACAACGCGGCCTCCAAAGTAGCTGATATTCGGCTGTCCCATGCGCCAGTTCACACAGATACCTCGGAACTCTACTACGTTTTCGCTATGTTCCAGAACACCGGAACCCTCCGGATCTCCACTGGATCACCAACGAGTTACAGGTCGCTCTGAGCAAAGCGCTGACGCTTTGGTTGCCCCCGTTCGCTTGAACTGCCAGATTACCTAATATGGCTGAAGAACCCCAAGCGATCGCTGGTGAAAAACACAACTCAACTGAATATCCGTGACGTTCGGCCAACATAAGCCAAAGGGTTCTGCCGGTGTTCGCCCGCAACGGCAAATGATGTGAAACGCCCACGCCTTCGCTTTGGCGGCAGCCTTCGCCTGTCAACTCTTAGTTGCTTCGGTGGCTCATGCAGGCGAACTGTCTTGATGCGATAAACTTTTTGCCGGCGGGGGATCCCTTGGTTTCCTCCCAAATTTGTGGGGCAAGACTCTGTGATGCTCGCCACACAGGCAACCCAAAAATCCGTCTGGTGTCCCTTTTGTAAATTCTTAACGGGGTTTCCCAAGTTAAGAAACTGAATCAGACAGCTGGAGAGCCCAGAGTCTGCGGGGCCCCACCTGCTTCAGGGCCTCCTTAGCCTGAGGGCGCAGGTACGTTCTGCGCTGCCAAATCTGGCTGACCGCATCTGGGGGACGCTCTCTTTGTTTTTCAGAGTTAGCACCCTCCGGGTTGATTGAAATCTCCTGTTGGGAGATTTGCGCCATTTGCGCTTCAATGCCAAGAACGACTCAAGTTCACGGTTGGTGATGTTCGGAGAAAAAAATCGACGAGCCCGCTTGCCAGACTCCAAGTTGCGTGAATCCTCTTGGCTTCTTTCAAGCCCAATCCACAAAGGGCCAACCACTTGGACCCAAATGGGTATGAGTCAAAATTAAACCACCAGGGAACCGCAAGTTTTAGCTCATGTTTCCATTTACCAGGGTTCTATATTGGGTACCTATTTTTGACCCACACCCAACTGATTCTACCCCTGTGACTGAACCGCCCCTGAATAGAAGAGGCAATCACTCCCAAATCCCAGCTGTGTTATTCTTGATGGTTTGGGCATAGTCATGACAAAGCTTGCGAACAACGCCTTCGAATGGACCCCACAAGGGGGTGGGCGGGCGGGGGTGGGTGGGGGATAGGTGGGGGATAGGTGGGGGTGGGTTTTTGAAGGGGGGGAGGGAATAGCGCTATGTCACATCTGCAAAGAAATGCCTCCTGCTTACTAAGTTTTATTCACTTTCCATTTCAAAGATATTTGGGAAACATTTTGGAAAGGAGTTCATGTGCAAGTAGCAATTCAGATTAAACTCCTTCCGGATGAATTGCTGCTTGAAATGTTATACAACTAAAGTCACATTTGGAAAGGAACACCTTTTTGGCCCTTCATTCAAAACAGAAAAGTAGAATACCGCATTTTCTTGTCACCTTCTGTTCTTAACTAAAATCCAACTTGGCATAAGGAGCCTTATAAGGAGCCGTAGAAGGAGCCTTGAGAGGAGCTTTACAATGAGCTTTAGTCACCTGCAGGTCAGTGACAAGTACTTGCTGTCTGTGGTCTGCTACATCTTCGCAACTGTTTAAATAGAACTTATAGCAAGAGTCCATCGTTATAAAATTACATTCAAGCCCTAATTGAATTTAACCGAAAGCCTTTTGGAAGAGAACGTCGCATTTGACAACAAGATTAAGAATGCAATTCTGATGGGTTATGTCCCTATCAAACTCCATCAAAACACAATATTAATTCACATTAACACCATAGTTGGAAAGGAAATCCCGTTTGAATCTTCATTGTGAATAGGAATTCCATTTCACTGACTTTTTCAGCAGCTTCTGTTGAACATGTTTAGCAATCAACATCCTATTTAGTATAAGGAGCCTCGACAGGATCTTTTAAGCAGCTTTTTTGAGGAGCTTCATAAGAGGCCTGATAAGCAAGATCTCAAGCCAGCTGTTGAATTCTTCAAACTTTAAACTCCAATTCAACTCTGTCCTTATTAAGTTCTATTTAGATTCCAATGTCTGTTTTTATCAAGCCTTATTTGGTAAGACTTTCCTCTTATCAGGCTACTCTAGGCGGAGGTTGCTGACACAACAAATGTCAATGCATATCGAAGCAAGGCGTGTGCATATGTGGTCACACCTTCAGCAAGAACCTAAGAAAACAAATCTCAACCAAACCACCGAAATTCGAGGAACATTGCCCAAAAGTCAAGGGCGCAGTCTGCTCTCCCTCTGCCATGGGTGCGAGCACCTGACAGTTCTACAACGGCGCGTGCTTCGGTCTCCAGCCAGAGCCTTGCTCAAAGGCGCTCGGGCCCAGCGAGAGCCCATCCAAAAACCCACCATGCGGCGCCAAGCACCGTCGGCAAAAACAAGCTCGCCGGGATCTTTTTGCTGGACCAGGCTGGCGGACGACCACATCGAGCTGCGCGGAATGCAGGCAAGTGCGCGCCTTTGTTTTCCAAGTAGTCACACTTGGAAGGGTGTCCCCCGACTGAACATGCAGCAAGCCGCATGCAGCGCGAGCTCCGAGATGGCATGCACCGCCGGTCAATTTGGAAAGTGTTTTGTTTTTTTGGGGGGGACAGGTGCAATACCAGAACCATATGTAAGCTCGATTTGACTCTTCCATATGCAGGCAAGTACTGAGGGGAAAACCAAAAAGCCAGCAACGCCTCGAGAAAACACAGAATATTACAAAAACAATCTCTGGGGATTCGCTTTGGTTTCAGCCCCAAGCTTTTGTTTTTCATTTTGTGTTTTGCTTTTTGTTTTTCTTTGTCTTCTTGTGACATGTGACATGATGAAACAAAACACCGTCGCCTTGCAGACTTGGCTGCTGTAGAACACAAAAAAGACACTGTAAAACTGAATGTTTTGTTTGGCGTGCCCACTTAACATCTCAGGGCCAGAATCTGGTCAGCCGGTCAGGGGGTTTGCGCACGCACTTTCATGATTATGCATCTTAAGCGTAAGTCTACAACATACCAAGCAGTCTGGCATAAAGATGTGTCGTGTCAATACACAAGAACCATGTGAAAGGACTTGAAAAAGCAAAAGGTAGATCATGTCGGGGCTGACCATACATATACATATATATAAATATATATATATATACATATATATATATATATTGTAGCCGGCGTATCTGGAACTCCAATTTCGCTGGGGCCTCGGGCCTTCTTCACCTGGCACGCACGAGACTCGCCGCGTGCTAGCGTTGCCAAGGAGCGTTGCCAAGGCTACACTCGCAAGGGTGAACCGCCTTCTTATAGGTCCCTCAGATTTGAGATTAGAATAAGGCTACGCATGTTTTTCTTTTTAGCCTATTTTAGTGGGGGAACCCAAAACCCAACAAAAAAGTCTGAAAAATTCACCTACCTAGTGACCTAGCATCTTCTGGGTGATTTTGGATTGGATTGCTTTGGTCGTAGGGGGTCCCTTGTCGCCTAGTCCGCCGACGTTGCTTGGCGTGTTGGTACCAGGAAAGGGGGGCGGGGGGTGGGGGGGACCACGTACCGCGCGGTGATTTGATGATGTTCCACTAATCGGGGAGCCGCTGTCGCAAAACAGGGGTCCCAGGCTCGATTCCCCCTGCCAGCTCTTTTGCTGGTTTGGGTGTACTGCCTCCTTTTGCCCACAATCTGGAAAAACTCTGTGTTTTTGGACGTCCTCTTTGCGAAAACGCTGGAAAAACCAAGTTTTTTGCGGGAAATACTGGGAGCAAAGGGGAAACGTAAGGAAGTGGAAGGAAATGAGGGGAGGAAATAGGAAGTCGACATGACAGGAAAGCAACGGGAAATGAAAGGGAATGAAAGGGACAGAAATGAAAACAAGGGGAGTACAGGGGGAATGACAGGGAAACAAAGCACAAGGAAACCAAACATACATACATACATACGTACATACATACATTACATTACATTACATTACACTACATAACATAACATAACATTACATTACATTACGTTACATTACATACATACATGCAGTACATACATTACATACGTAACATACATAACATACATTGCATACATTACATACATTACATACATTACATACATACATACATACATACATACATACATACATACATACATACATACATACATACATACATACATACATACATACATACATACATACATACATACATACATACATACATACATACATACATACATACATACATACATACATACATACATACATACATACATACATACATACATACATACATACATACATACATACATACATACATACATACATACATACATACATACATACATACATACATACATACATACATACATACATACATACATACATACATACATACATACATACATACATACATACATACATACATACATACATACATACATACATACATACATACATACATACATACATACATACATACATACATACATACATACATACATACATACATACATACATACATACATACATACATACATACATACATACATACATACATACATACATACATACATACATACATACATACATACATACATACATACATACATACATACATACATACATACATACATACATACATACATTACATACATACATACATACATACATACATACATACATACATACATACATACATACATACATACATACATACATACATACATACATACATACATACATACATACATACATTACATACATACATACATACATACATACATACATACATACATACATACATACATACATACATTACATACATACATACATACATACATACATACATTACATACATACATACATACATACATACATACATACATACATACATACATACATACATACATACATACATACATACATACATACATACATACATACATACATACATACATACATACATACATACATACATACATACATACATACATACATACATACATACATACATACATACATACATACATACATACATACATACATACATACATACATACATACATACATACATACATACATACATACATACATACATACATACATACATACATACATACATACATACATACATACATTACATACATACATACATACATACATACATACATACATACATACATACATACATACATACATACATACATACATACATACATACATACATACATACATACATACATACATACATACATACATACATACATACATACATACATACATACATACATTACATACATACATACATTACATTACATTACATACATTACATTACATACATTACATTACATTACATTACATTACATTACATACACTACATTACATTACATTACATTACATTACATTACATTACATTACATTACATTACATTACATTACATTACATTACATTACATTACATTACATTACATTACATTACATTACATTACATTACATTACATTACATTACATTACATTACATTACTACATACATACATACATACATACATACATACATACATACATACATACATACATACATACATACATTACATACATACATACATACATACATACATACATACATACATACATACATACATACATACATACATACATACATACATACATACATACATACATACATACATACATACATACATACATACATACACATACATACATTACATACATACATACATACATACATACATACATACATACATACATACATACATACATACATACATACATACATACATACATACATACATACATACATACATACATACATACATACACACATACATACATACATACATACATACATACATACATACATACATACATACATACATACATACATACATACATACATACATACATACATACATACATACATACATACATACATACATACATACATACATACATACATACATACATACATACATACATACATACATACATACATACATACATTACATACATACATTACATACATACATACATACATACATACATACATACATACATTACATACATACATACATACATACATACATACATACATACATACATACATACATACATACATACATACATACATACATACATACATACATACATACATACATACATACATACATACATACATACATACATACATACATACATACATACATACATACATACATACATACATACATACATTACACATACATACATACATACATACATTACATACATACATACATACATACATACATACATACATACATACATACATACATACATACATACATACATACATACATACATACATACATACATACATACATACATACATACATACATACATACATACATACATACATACATACATACATACATACATACATACATACATACATACATACATACATACATACATACATACATACATACATACATACATACATACATACATACATACATACATACATACATACATACATACATTACATACATACATTACATTACATTACATTACATTACATTACATTACATTACATTACATTACATTACATTACATACATTATACATTACATTACATTACATTACATTACATTACATTACATTACATTACATTACATTACATTACATTACATTACATTACATTACATTACATTACATTACATTACATACATACATTACATACATTACATACATACATACATACATACATTACATTACATTACATTACATTACATTACATACATTACATTACATTACATACATACATACATACATACATACATACATTACATACATACATACATACATACATACATACATACATACATACATACATACATACATACATACATACATACATACATACATACATACATACATACATACATACATACATACATACATACATACATACATACATACATACATACATACATACATACATACATACATACATACATACATACATACATACATACATACATACATACATACATACATACATACATACATACATACATACATACATACATACATTACATACATACATACATACATACATACATACATACATACATACATTACATACATACATACATACATACATACATACATACACATACATACATATACATACATACACATACATACATACATACATACATACATACATACATACATACATACATACATACATACATACATACATACATACATACATACATACATACATACATACATACATACATACATACATACATACATACATACATACATACATACATACATACATACATACATACATACATACATACATACATACATACATACATACATACATTACATTACATTACATTACATTACATTACATACATTACATTACATTACATTACATTACATTACATTACATTACATTACATTACATTACATTACATTACATTACATTACATTACATTACATTACATTACATTACATTACATTACATACATACATACATACATACATACATACATACATACATACATACATACATACATACATTACATTACATTACATACATACATACATACATACATACATACATACATACATACATACATACATACATACATACATACATACATACATACATTACATACATACATACATACATACATACATACATTACATACATACATACATACATACATACATACATACATACATACATACATACATACATACATACATACATACATACATACATACATACATACATACATACATACATACATACATACATACATACATACATACATACATACATACATACATACATACATACATACATACATACATACATACATACATACATACATACATACATACATACATACATACATACATACATACATACATACATACATACATACATACATACATTACATACATACATACATACATACATACATACATACATACATACATACATACATTACATACATACACATACATACATACATACATACATACATACATACATACATACATACATACATACATACATACATACATACATACATACATACATACATACATACATACATACATACATACATACATACATACATACATACATACACATACATACATACATACATACATACATACATACATACATACATACATACATACATACATACATACATACATACAAACATACATACAATACATACATACATACATACATACATACATACATACATACATACATACATACATACATACATACATACATACATACATTACATACATACATACATACATACATACATACATACATACATACATACATACATACATACATACATACATACATACATACATACATACATACATACATACATACATACATACATACATACATACATACATACATACATACATACATACATACATACATACATACATACATACATACATACATTACATACATACATACATACATACATACAGACAGACAGACAGACAGACAGACAGACGGACGGACGGACAGACAACAGACACATATACATACATGGACAATACATACATACATACATACATACATACATACATACATACATACATACATACATACATACATACATACATACATACATACATACATTACATACATACATACATACATACATACAGACAGACAGACAGACAGACAGACAGACGGACGGACGGACAGACAACAGACACATATACATACATGGACAATGAAGCGGACATACCGAGAAAATGACAGGGACATGGAGGGGGAGTTGAAAGGAATGGAAGGGACATGTCCAGGACATCATGGGAAACGTGAAAAGGACATGAAGGGGAAATCAAGGGGAAAGCCAGTAGTGAGATGACAGTTCAGGGTCGTGAAGGGGCAGTGCCCGGACATCGAGGCAACTCAGGGGGGACATGACGCTGCAATGCAGAGAGAGAGAGAGAGACAGGGAGAGAGCGGGAGAGAGAGAGAGAGAGAGAGAGAGAGAGAGAGAGGGACACAGAGAGCGAGAAAGAGAGAGAGAGAGAGAGAGACAGAGACAGAGCCAGAGTCAGAGAAAGAGACAGAGAAAGAGACAGGTAGAGAGAGAGAGCGAAAAAAAAAAGAGAGAGACAGAGAAAGAGAGACACAGAAAGACAGAGAGAGAGAGAGAGAGACAGAGAGAAAGAGCGAGAGAGCGAGAGAGAGAAAGAAAGAGAGAGAGAGAGAGAGAGAGAGAGAGAGAGAGAGAGAGAGAGAGAGAGACTAGGTCCTCCAGTAGAGAGGTTAGAACGAGGGCACCCTTTTTCTGTAGAGGGGTGTGGACAGGAAGGAGACAGGGAGACAGAAAGAGACAGAGAAACAGAGAGAGAGAGAGAGAGAGAGAGATAAAGAGAGACAGAGAGTGGGAGATTGAGGAGAGAGAGGCTTGGGGGGATGGGGAGGATCGGGAGCGGAGGGAGGGAGAGAGGACAACAGAACACACAAGGGAGACAAGGGAGAGATGAAGAAGGAGAAAAGGGAGAGGACAATGTCGGCGGAGTGAGCCGGAGGCTCTAAAGTTTCAAGAGGAACCAGGGTTTCACCTCTCAAGCCACGAATCATGCACGAAGGGTGACTTGACCTTTTAAAGCGGCATCGACGAAACCGTCGAAGAGGGTTCCATCATTGAGTCATCAGGTGTCAAAAACAGCCTCACCAATTTGAAGTGGAGGGTGTCCTTTTGGTTCCCTTTTGAAAACCGTCGAAGACATGTCCAAATCATGAGCCCGCCTGAATTTTAGAGCAAAGATGGTGCCCAAGAAAAGAGAACCAAAACGACACCTACTAACTACCCGCAAGAAAAGTTGATGGCATGCTTCCCTGCATGTCAGCAAGTAAAAGGCAGGATGCAACCTCCAGTAGTTTGACCCTAGTGAGATCGTAAGCTTGTTTATGGACTCCCCCAATCTGGCGAGTCCCAAATCAACCCATCGGCGGAGGGGCTTCCCTCAACTTCCCCAGGGTCCCCAAGCTCTCAAAACAAGAGAGTGGGGACCCACACCTGGTTTCTTCTGTCGACCGCGACCCTCCACTTCCCTCCATGTCTCATCCAAAACGCGGCCTGGCTCTGGCTTTGACCTGAAACCGGAAGCCCAGCTCTCGCCCGAGGCAAACAGGAGAGGGGGCTTTTGCTGGAGCAAAAGCCCCCATCCCCACTGAAGGCGACACAGCGCGTGGCGTGGCCTTTTGCGCCCTGTTCCCCTTTTGCCGCCGCTTTCTCCCAACTTTTCAACCAAAAGACTTCAGCCAAGCGGAGCCTAGCGCCCGCCTCTGTCTCGGCCTTTGCGATCTGGCAAGGAGGCGAAAAGAGACCAGCGGCCAGCTGGACCAAAAGGAAGGCTTTTTCAAGGCGGGAATCATCTGAAGGTGGCACCAAACACCGAAGCTTCCCACAAGAAGCAGCGCAAGACGTGGGCTTTTTGGAGCACATGTGGGGTGTGTCCATGTGGAAGAAAGAGAATCGGAACCCGTGCTGCCGATTCGAGCTGGTGAATGTGCCCGATGTCGGGCCGATTTTTCCGAGACCTGAAAAATCGCTTTTGGAGAGCAAAGGGAACTTGTAGCCCATCCATGAGGATGCACCAGCGAACACGTACCCAAGAGCGATTTTCAGTTGAGGATCACCCCAAGAACTCGTTTCTTCCAACTCGAGCAGCATCACAAAAAGTGCAAATCATCTACTTGCAACCCCTCTTTTTGATATCCTCCCGAAGCCGACAGGAGGCTCCTGGTTTGGCCCCAAGCTCCTTTTGAAGGGATCGGTTCCCTTTCCTTTCGTCGGGTGCCACGTTTGAGAAAAGGCTGAGAGCGTGAGACGCACCCCGCGCCTTTGCGGGCACCTGGCCAGCGACAAGCCGCAAGCGGCAAGCGGCAAGGGGTTTCAAGCGGCAGCTGGGAACTGGTTTCAAGCCTAGGTGTGCTTCTAGGGGAAATAGATGGGTTTCCCCTGGTAAATGAGAAAATGCGTTGAGCAGCGAAAAACTCCCTTCAAAACGAACAGGAGAAATACCACATATTCATTTCAGCAAATGGAAGATTGGGCTTTCAGCTCCGAATTGTCGCATTCCTGTTTTCAGCTTAGCAGCCTTTAATGCACCAGGCTGGCCCCCCACGCTATTTGCTGTTTAACATGTAATAACTTGAGAAACTCATAATACAAAGCAAAATAGAGGAAAGAAGTGATAACAAGTTTAATATAAATATCAAAGAAACTAAACAATATAAATATACCAACAGAACAAGTGTGTTCAAGTAAAAACAAAGTTGGAGCAGGGAGTTGTGCTTTGAGATTGAACCGCAGAGACTAAGAAAGACAGAGACCAAGACTTGTTTTGAGGAGCAAAAAACAGGGATCTCCAGCATTGGAGCACTTGCCACCTGCAACCTGTTCAGACCATTTTGTCTGCAGCATCTTGTTTCGTCTTCCCTTCACAAAGGACGACCCCGGAGACCTCGCTCCGGCCTTTCTGGCCAGCAACAGAAAAATACCATGAAGGAGGCAAAAGGGATTCCAAGAGTCATAGGGTAGGGGAGGGGGTCTATGGGCAAGCTCCCAACTCAGCGGGGCTCTGACTGGCCGCGCCTTTGGAGCGGCCTTGGCTTTCGCCTGGCTGAAAACGTGGGTCTTTGTCAAGTTGAGGGTAGACCCCCGGCCAGGAGTCCCCCGATTTTCCGAGACCGCGCACTGCTTCGAATGTGCTCAAGCCGGGTACGGAGTTCTTGGAGCTGTGAAAGCACCGAAACCGCGGCAGCGCCCACCGCCGCGTGCAGATTTTGCCGCAGAAAGGTCCGCTGCATGGCTTCGGCGGCTTGGCTTGAATGGACTCTTGGTGACCATATGTCCGTGTCTTTCTTCAAGGGTACCCGTTTTGGGTTGGTTGAAAAGGGAAACCAAAAGAAAACATCACCATGTGGGGGAGCCCCCTAAAACAAGACAGACTCATATGGCTCAGGTCTGCATGGCCGAGAGCTCCCGCGCCTTTTCACTGACTTTAGCTTTTTTGGCCTGGCATGGCGCGAAAATGTGCCCTTGTCAGAGTCCCAAAGTGATGTAACCCTCGGATTGCCTGGGATGTTTGGCTCTAACCACAAGGAAGCCACTTTATAGGGTACCCAATTAAATGCCAACGCAAAGGGATCAACAACGACTTGTCAAGCACGCTCTCTTCTTGGTTTCCAGGATCTGTTTGTGACACCCACCTTGACCCGTGCATGTCACCCATGAACAAGGATTCCTTCGCAAGTCTCAATTCAGCATTCGGAAACGCAGGACTTGCGATGCGATGGGCAGGGAAGGCAACATCAACCATCCAAGAGGTGGTTTCCCTTCAGCAGACCATTAGAAGGACCCCAACATTAACCATCCGACTGGCGTCCTTTCAGGAGACTGGATGCAGTCCAAAGTCAACCATCCAACTGGTGGCGTCCTTTCAGGAGACCCCTGGATGCATTCCCCATCGCACCGACCCCACGAGACACCTCGAGTCACGGCCCAAAGGACCCAAAGCCAAGAAAAAAACGCTTCCGAGTTGGCTGTTCGAGTCGGCTTCCGACAATTAAAAAAAAATCACAAATGAAGAGAAGGCACCAAACAGGGATGGCATGTTTGGCCGCCCAAGTTCGCCAGGGGAAGCACATGGAGCTTGTAAAATCCACTTCCAAAAGCCCCATTCGGCCCGAAAAACCGACAACAAAAAGAGAAACGGCCGGCCCCAAAAGCCCAGTAGCGCCCCAAAAGGGCGGCAATCGCATCGCCTTCTTTGCCTCTTTCTCCTTCTTGGCCTGACGAAAGGCAAGAGGACGGCATGCCCAACT